CCTGATCTCTCCAGAATTTGGAGACTTTTATTGAGTCTTCTTACTTTCATGGCAGTATAGTTATTTGCATAACTTCAATAGAAATCTGTTTCTACTTGCAACAGGATACAATTGGAAAAACTGGTTATACTACCAAGACTTTGACTGGAAAGTCATATTTGAGAATTTATGTGCATGTGAATTATGTGGTTTAAAGAGCTAATGTTGACTTATGGAGCTAATGCTTACAAAGCCTTCTTGGAAAAGTCAGCCTAGTACCTGGCTTACAGGATTGCCAGCCTTACAGGTAAGTAAGGAAGATCACTTCCCGGCAGGCCCAGGAATCTCAGGATATCTTGGAGACATTAAAAAGAGAAGAATTCACCCAAATCTCTAGATACTGAAGGTAAAATCTAGTAGTGAGTTCCTAGCATGGCTTCCTAGCATCAAGAGGCTTTTAAAAGTCTAATCTGAGATTTCTCATGAAAAGTTACAACAAAGCCAACTGAAAAAGGCCAACGTGATGAACTACTATTCTTCCTGCATTTATGTAAATAATCAGGCCAAACCTAATGAGATTATACTTATTTTGTAAACAAGAATAACCTTACTTTGGTTGTTTTTTAATCAAAAAGGGGGGGAGTGACTGTAGAAAGAAATTTATGTCAGTGGAAAACTATAGTGCATATAATTCTTCTAGTTTCCTCCAAGGTCTGGCTACAACTCTCCAAACTAACATTTCCAGTTTTTCTCCCACCCTCCTGACTTGGCACCACTAAGAACTAAAAACCTGACTGCCCAGATCCTTATTGGAGCTATCTCAAGAAGTTCTCCAAGCTGAAGCTGGATGCTTCCATGCCCTGCTCCGAGAGATAACCATGACTATGACACTGATGTCTATGCCATCATCAGAGACATCCAAACTACAAACCAAAAAATTCCTTGAATTGCCACTGCCACCCTCACTCATTTCATCTAAAGATACTTTGTGCCCAACATCTAGAAATCATCTTGACTGGCTACCCTCTAGACTCAGAAACTGGGTTTCCAAACATTAATCTTTGTTTTGTTTTGTTTTTTTATTTTCATAAGAATCCCCCCCATTAAATTCCTGACTGCACACATCACCCAGCAAATATCCTCCACTACCAAGTCCCAACAGACGGTTCACCTGGTCCTTAATGAACAAAAGGTGACTAAGGAAAAATGGACTTATATGTTCAGAAGAAAGAAAAATGTCTCCTCTTTCCTTGAACAAGAGGAGGGACTGACAAAGTCTTTCCTTGACTAAACTTTGTTCAAGCTGTTCTGACCTCTCTTCACAACTAGGCCCTGACTTTGCGGCTTCTGTGTTCATCTCCGCATTGTCCAATTTTAGCAACAATTCTGCTAAGTCAGTGTAGCCACAATTTCCCATCTTCCATATTTGATCACTCTCAATATATGATCACATTCCTCATCTCTCACCATCCCCAGTTGGTGTCTGATTACCCTGGCCTGCCTTCAGCAAGAATCCTGTGAGGTCGGTTTAGCCAGGATCCCCCCGATCCCTGATGTTTCCTCTTAGTAATTTTCCATCCACTGCCCCCCACCAGGCTCCTTGACTATAAATTCCCATTGTTGTATTCAGAATCAAGCTCAATCTCTCTCCCCCTTGAATAATTTTTTCTATAACATGATCCACAGAAATGTAAGAACCACTCTGTAGCATTCCTATCATCACACACAACTCTCTCCCATCTCTTCCACTTCTCTTTTTCTCTCTTCATGCAAATACACAGGCTACTCAGAGAACAGGAAAGAGACCTGCCCAGTCACACCTGCTGCCAAGAAAAACCCACTTGCCTGCCAGTCACTAGGATGGGCCTGGGCCTGTTCAAGCCCTGGCCAGGGACTGGTGCACTTGGGCTGCCCTGGAAGAAACGTTTTGCAAAATACTTTAGAATAAAAATGATGTGGTACGGTCCTTGGTGGGATGAATAGACAGCTTTTATTTATTATCTGATCTTAGTATCCTGACTTGTTATGCCAACTTAGGATTTCTCCTGATTGATAAGGTTCACGCGGGAGTTGTCATAGTATAATCACCCAGCTTCCCCCAGATATTTCCCTCTCCCTGTCTGGATCTCACCAGAGACTGTTTCTGGACAGGATCCAGCCTCGCCCTCCACGTTCTGGGGTTGGCCTGGGAAGCAGGGTATGACCACCTGCAATGAAGTCACACTAAGGGAGAACAGCATCCATCTCCTAGGGGCATCATGAAGCCAGGCCTCCACCCTGACAGTTGCTTTGAGAAGGCCCCAGGGGGAGCTGGGGAAAGCAGGAGGACATCTTAGTTTTTTCAACCTATAGATGTGATCTAGAGGTAAGACGTGAGAATGAGAAACAAAGTTTATCAAAATCATAGAGCTCTTCAGTTCTCTCACAAGGAGATACTTCTTTGACTAAAGCTCAGACACAATTTTAAGGTGGTAAAGCAAATATAAAGACCTGAGCAGGCTCTCAGATGGACATCAGAGGTACCCCGTCCCGAGAGCAGGTGTGGATGAGCGCTCCCATTCATTTAGGGGCGGGGTGCACCATGCACTGCCCATTAGGGCCACCTCACGGGCTCACCTGAAGGCCTGGAGTGCCAGGTCTTTCTGGAATGCTGCTGGCACCCTGTATGTAGACAGTGGCTCAGCTGAGGGAGAGGGTCTTCTGGGAAGATGTGGGGGGTGGAATCTCCAGAAGGACTCGAGAAAACAAAATATGCAACAGACTACCAGTGACTGCAAGGAAAACTACCCAATTTCCTAAAATTTCAGTTCACCCAGATTACCAACTAAAGACACTAACGAAAAAAATTTTTTCATTTAGTTCTCTGAATAATTTAATTCCTTTTTAAAAGATAATAATCAGAACTATTTGAACTGACCAGAGCTGCTTCCTCCTCTCCTTCGTCTCTTTCCCTCTCCTCTTCCACCCCTCTCTTCCTCCTCTTTCTCTCTTCCTTCCCCTCCCCTCCCTCTTCCCTAGCTCACTTTCTGGGATGCCTCCTCTTCCAGGACCCAGCACCAACCCCACTGCTCTGAGCAGGACTGGGAGCTCTAGGGACTTTCATGCTCAAATGTTCTAATCTAAATGTCCATTCTAAGGAGGTTCTGGACTTTCAGTTTCAGCTGGGATATGTAGGGAGCTGGAGATGCACCACTCCCACTCTTACAACCAGAAAAGGCTGGGCAAACGTACGTTAATGACTTATTCCATCGAGAACGAGGTTGCATCGCAAACCCTCAAACTGAAATCTGGAGTGAGACAGGCGACTGCTGGGAGGAACAGGTCCAAGCATTTGCTTCCCTGGGACTGGTGCCAGCACCACACACAGAAGCAGGTAAGATTAAACCAGAAAATTTTTAAATTGTTGGAGGTCAAGTGCGGGCTAGCATGAGAGTGGGAGCCCCTGGGAGCCACAGAATAGGGGTGTTCACATCTTCTTACAGGCTTTTCCTCCAAGAACCCAGCAGGTGCTCACAGGGAAGATGGGGAAATTGGGAAGACCTCTGAAAAAGCATTAATTTGCTGGAGAAGCATGCCAAATCTGGTAGCCTGAAGGCACAGGGGAACCCCAGCAGCGGGCAGCAAGTAAGAGGGGAAAGTCGCTCTACCCCTGCAGGAGGAACAGGAACAGTGCAGGGCCCGGCAGACAGCTGGGGAGAGGCCGACAATTTCAAGTGTCTGTGGCACCAGAGGTTACCATGGCAACCACAAACTGCAACTTGTGACTAGATTTACACAAACCCCCAACCAATGCCCACAGAAGTTAAGGTGTGCTCATCTCCAAGCTTAAATGCTGTTTACTCAGTGCTATAGACTGAATGTCCGTGTCCCCCCAAGTCTGTATGTTGAAGCCCTAACCCCCAGTGTGGCTATGCTTGGAGACAGGGCCTCTAAGGAAGTAACTGAAGTTAAATGAGGTCATAGGGTGGGGTCCTGATCTGAAAGGAATGGTGTTCTTATAAGAAGAGACAGCAGAGGGCCGGCCCCGTGGCTTAGCAGTTAAGTGCGCGCGCTCCGCTGCTGGCGGCCTGGGTTTGGATCCCGGGCGCGCACCGACGCACCGCTTCTCCGGCCATGCTGAGCCCGCGTCCCACATACAGCAACTAGAAGGATGTGCAGCTATGACATACAACTATCTACTGGGGCTTTGAGGGGAAAAAAAAAAAAAAAAAAAAATCTTAAAAAAAAAAAAAAAAAAAGAAGAGACAGCAGAAAGTGCTCCTTCTCTCTCTACACACACACACACACACACACACACACACACACACACTCTCTGAAGAAAGAAAGGCCCTGTGAGGACACAGCAGGAAGGCAGCCATCTGCAAGCCAGGAAAAGAGCCCTCACCAAAAACCAAATCAGCTGGCACCTTGACCTTGGATGTCCAGCCTCCAGAACTATGAGAAATAAATGTCTGTTGTTTAAGCCCCCCAGGTTGTGGTATTTTGTTATGGCAGCCTGAGCTGACTAACATTCAGTATCAACTATCCCGAACAACACACCCAGCTTTTAAGGACAAATTATGAGGCCTACAAAAAGGCAAGAGAAAACACGGTATGAAGAAACCAAGCAATAATCAGACTCATATGATACAGCCAAGGAAAGAACCAATGAACTTAAAAGTAGGCCAGTAGAAACCATCCAAGCTGAAATGCAAAAGGCAGTGGGGGGAAGAGACAGAACAGAGTATCTAAGAGCCACAGGAAAGCCAGGGCCTGAGTAGAATGTGCCACTCAGCTGTCATCACCCTTCTGTGGGAACCTGACCACCAACCACCCATCTCAGTTTCACTAGCACTCCCTTCCCATTCTGTTCCAAGGCCCCATCTTTCATCAAACGTCCTGGAGGAGCAAATATGCATGGAAGGAACAGCAATCCTCGATGCCACGACCTTCAGCAACAGCTGTAATTGTTCTTGGGTGTCTCTTCACTTTGTGAATCTCAACCATCGATGACTGTCCCTTTCAGTGTATGGTTTGGATACAGTAGCTTTCCAGCGGTGACACAGCCAACAACTGCCAGAACTTTCCTTGATCTGGATACAGGCTAAATAAAATCTGTAATAATCAGAAACATTTAATGACAGACTTTTGGTGAGAGCAATAGGATTTTAAAAAGTCTGATAACAGCTAAATATAGAGGTATGATAACGGTGCTGATTGATGTATCCAAGATTCACCAGCTTACTCTAAATAGCTTTTCTGAGACAGTAAAAGAAAATCCTGATTCATTATACTATTTTCCACTACAATGGACCTTGATTATTGATATTTGCCAATTTTAAGGATTAAATACCTGGCCACAAAATTAAATCATCACAGCTGGGTAAACATGGTTTTCCCATACTGGAGAGTAGGGAATACAACCTACGTGATAGTGGGAGCACAGGTTTGTGGAATTTGCAGAATACTTTATACACCATCAGAAAGTAAATTAAAGTGAAAATAAGATGACAGATTTTAGAAGTTCAAAACAAATTCCTCAAATTCTACTTTGGATGTATTTACAAATCACCACACAGAGCTCAGGTCAGCTCTCAGGGGACCAGGGGAGGCCTGGCCCACTCTGACCTCCTCCTTGGAAATCCCAACGCACCATCCACCCTGCTAAACAGCAGGGGCTTCAGAACCACAAAATTGTGTGAATAGGAAGTAGAGAGGCGAATTGGTAGCCAAAAAAGTAAAATCATGAAGTTTTCAGAATTCCATGAATTGTTTTTTGTCTCATAGATAGATTTCCTTTCTCTGGGCCACTGCTCCCCTCCCTTGTGGATTATTAAAAAGTTACCTTACTCAGTTCAACTTAGCCAGTATTGACTTCATGTACCACCCCTGGTCAACCACCAGATGCAACACTGCTTTCTCTATGGCACACTGAGAAGAGGAGACTCCTCTCACACATAATCCTGCACATACGTAGAGCCCCAATCCCCATGCCTGCCTATGAAATAATGAAACGAAGTATTCGCAGCTGCACATGGTCATGCATATAGCTTCCAGTCATGCAGGGCGCCCAGCATGTCCATCACCACAGGCTGCCTGCATAGAAGAGCCACGGACACCCATGGAGTCCACACGGCACAGTCATGAAAACACCACTCACGTACCCCATCCCTGCTCACAGTCTCACACTCTGTCACAGCAGCATGCACCAACCATCCACTGGGGTCCCCTAACAATGGCACACACAAACTATCTTTATGCCAATGCTAAAAATTGATACACACCCAGAAATAACTCCCCAACCATAGATGACCTCAAAATGGCCACAGAGCACAAATGATCCACATGTCCCATACAGGCACGCACACACACAAACACACAGACCAGCACACAAACACACAGACCTCATACCTGCATGCACACATACAGACACACAGCCAGAAACAGGAGACCACACACCCGCATGTACCACACACCCGCATGCACCACACACACACACATACAGCCAGACACAGGGGACTTCACACTCATTCATTTGGCAAATATATTTTGAGTGCCTGTAATGTGATCCTGGCTAGGGCTACATCAAAACACATCAGAAGGCACACTCAGGTCACCTCCAGAGCCCTGGCTCTGCAGCCCTCCTTGGGGATGCATGGGCAAGTAAAATGGGAGCAGCCTCCAGGGAAGGTACAAACACAGAGCTTCAGTCCCTCCCAAACAAGGTGGCCCAGCTGGTCAGTGGCCCAGCGCACCATCTCAAAGGGACACTGAGACATTCCTGGGGCCACCCATGATCACCAAACATGTCCCAACACAAATAAAGAGTATTTACTACATGTGGTTGAAAAGAGAATTTGGTAAGCCATTTGAGGTGGGAAGTGAGAGCCAGGGGGCAAGCTAACTGCCTTATATGGAGCAATGCTAGGTCTCCAGGGCTTCCATTGTGTAACTGTGGACAACAGCAGAGGAGCATTGCTAAGGACAGGCCTCCCTCACCACCCCCAGCCCACCCCGTGCCCTCAGCATCTCCTCCAAAGAAAGGTGTGAGCCCCACACCTCAGATGCCCAAGGCACCCAGGGGCTCTGCTGAGCCAACAGCAGAGCTCGGGGGCCCACGGTACTCACGGAGCACACCACCACAAAGACAAACAGGCCCGCAACTTTCAGCCACTGCACACAGCGCCTGCAAGAGAAAAGGTAGGCCCCAAGTCGCACCAGACTTGCCAAGCCTCAGACACCTTTCTGAAGCCTTGGATAACCTCCATCTCAAAGCACATGTTTGGAATTCTTTCCAGAACACGGTATGAAGAAGGACACTGCTGACCTGTAAACCTACAGCCTCAAGAAAAGCAGCTTGGTGGAGGTTATGGAGGGGAAAAAAGTTAACCCCAAGTGTTTGCACATGGCTTCCTGCCGGAGATGCTAAAGTTCAAGATTTGGGGCTCTTCACTACCTTTTAAAGGCTCCAGTTTCCTGGAAACAAGCCTTATCTTGGTTCTCAGATTCATATTTATCAATTATTTTCCCCTAAGTTTTCTGGAAGGTAGGAATATGGATTTGATGAGCAAATATAAAAACACTGACTGAGACATAACCAAATAATTCAAGAAAGAAATTGCAATGATGTGACTGGTTGTACTAGCAGAGTCTTCTAAGAATTCCTTAGGAGATAATTTAATAGACAATCAGGACACATGCTTGGCCCCCTCTGAGAACTCTTGATGGTGTCCTGGCCCAGTCACCATTACGCACTTCTTAAACATGGCCCTGAGGCCCTCGGTGAACCTGGGCCTAGCCCACTCTTTGCTGCCCCACAGCCCTACCTCTGCTCACCTCCCTGGGGTCCACCAGATCTCATCTCCTAATGACACTACCACTGCCGAGCTGTGGGGTATGCTGTGCACTGGCCACTCCTTGAGAGCAGACACTGGGGTGTCTGTGCTCTGTCCCTTCACACGGAAGGGTGCTGGTACACACCCTGTGCTTCACACATATTTGTAGAACGAAGGAAGAAAGTCTATGTTGGGACATCTTTTTCAAAACCTTTCTGATCCTTTCAAAACAGTAAAACTTTGTGTTGCATTCTCTTAGATTTAATGAATTTAACGAAAAATCATTTCACAGTTCCAAATTATGATTCCACATCTCTTATTTACATGGGAATCAAAATGACACTTTTTTTAAAGCATGCAACATTAGTTGAACTATTCTAAATACAAATTTGTTTCTACATAACTGATATATACAGCACAGCTGACAATCCAAAATACTCTTACAAGTTTCTTCAACGATCACGCATGATACTTTCTAGACATGTTAAAAAGAATAGCCCTAAGTCTTTTAGTTCAGTGGCAAGCTCAATGCAGCTATTGCATGAATCACAGAAGATAAAACAACCACTGAAGGTAAAGTCTCAAATGTGCTTGAATCTATTTTCCATGGTGTGGGACAGAGAGGGACCCGGCATGCTCTGGAGCTGTGAGCCAGCCAGCTAGGGAAGGGCGTGACCATTCCGGTGACCCATGGGGCCAGATCCCTGCTCACACACTTTCACATGGTTCACATAACTTCATAGCAGATTCATCAGCCAAATATCTGACACACCTATGAGGGGGGCTGAGAACCAGTCATCGTGAAGAAGCTACACATGGCTGAGAGGCACGGCGGGAAAAGACATCAGGCCAAGCACCTGTGGGGGATCTGGAGTCATATCCCTGTCCCCCAGCTCAGCTCACGAGCCAGCATGACCTTGGGCAAAATCCTCATCCTTCCCGAGATACCTTCCTTCATCTACCTTCAAATGGCTTCAGAAAAGATGGATCCCCTTATATGGAGAAATAATACTACTAATATTTGATAGCTGCATAGTGTCTTCTCACCTATCCACTGGCTTTTGCACAGACTATCTGTGTAGAAGCCCACGGAAAGCTGTGGAGCGAGGGGGCACCACGCGACAAGGAGACAGTCGCACAGAGGTGCCTGGCGCTGATGGTCCCTCAGCTACCTAGGGGCAGGTCCTTATTCTGTCCCCGGAGATTCTGCTTTCAAACGCATTGCTGTCAATAGAATCTTCAGATAAACGTACATGTGGAAGCCCAGAGAACAAAGCAAGGGAGTAAGAGTGCTCCTGCTTGAGCTTGTGCAGGAAGTCCAGCAAAACGCCCTCAGCTCTCCCACTCGTGTGCGCCCTTGGCCCTCCCACAGGCATGCGTGCCCACGGCCTTCCCTCACACCAGACACACACACACCACCCATGTGCAGCCTCAGGCTCCCAGCTCCCACCAGGCCCCCAAGCGCAGAACCCTCAGGATGCCCCCTGGCCCTAGAGCCAACCCTTCTGATAATGTGCTTCATCACTACTAATGATATCAGCTTCCCAACACCACGGGGACTGCCGAAGTGAGTCAATGCCATCTGCAAACCTCATGGTCATGAAGATCCCCCCTCACAAACAGGAAGGAGGAATGTAGGCCATTAGTCAATTCAGGTTTGCAACTGGGCTTTCCAGGAGCCTCACAGGCTCCATGGATTCGCAGCACCACCGCCATGTCTTCCAGGGCCCGGAGAAAAGTTAGATACCCTTCCAGGAGAAGTGCAGCCTGGGCAAATGTGGAAACCCTTCTTCCTCACATTCACCCTGTTGATTGGGAAGGATGTAGGGAGGACGAGATTCCCAGCCTGGTCCCAGTCAAGTGGGATGTGCTGAGTGACCATCACCCTGTGCCAGTGCTGGCCCCCCAAGGCTTCCTACCTCAGCTTCGAAAGACGGAACCTGATGAGAGCGCTGTCCAGAAGCTCCCCCTTCTCTAGGGAGGCAGATCCAGATGAACCAGCTGACTCTCTGCTCAGCAGGGACCTTGGCTCCCACTCAGCTGAGCTGTTTTCCCAGCAGTCTTCAGCAGTGATGAACTCTGGGTGGTAAACGGGCATGCACCGTGACCTGGAAAGCAAGACTCTGTGGTTATTTTCACGGACATAGCAGCATCTCCAAAACAAGATTTCATCTCAGTGGTGACGTGTGACCTGTGAAACGTGGAATCAATCCTGGTTTTTAAAAAGATCACACACATTGTAGGGGCCGGCCCAGTGGTGCAAGCAGTTAAGTGCGCGAGCTCCGCTGCAGCGGCCGGCGGTTCGCCGGTTGGGGTCCCGGGCGCACACCGACGCACCACTTGTCAGGCCATGCTGTGGTGGCGTCCCATATAAAGTGGAGGAAGATGGGCATGGATGTTAGCCCAGGGCCAGTCTTTCTCAGCAAACAAGAGGAGGATTGGCAGATGTTAGCTCAGGGCCGATCTTCCTCACATAAACAAAAAAAAAGATCATAGACATTGTAGTGCCGTTAAACTGGTGGGAATGGGCCAGTCTTGACACCACAGAACACTCTGCTCAAGGAAAATCTTCTGGGGTCACTCAAGTCTTCAAAACGAATTGTAGACCTTCAAGAAACATCAGATTGTTCTGAGTTTGTAACTTTCCAATAAAGCTGTTTCTGTCTCAGACCAGCTCCAACTCATTTCAGTATTTGCTTTCTCTTTGAATATGCCGGAGTTCTCAATACCTAGTTCTGTTATAGTCATTCTGAAGCAGGGTGAGTGGTGTAAGACTTTCCTCCTCTATGTAGATATCTTTCTACATCTAGGAGCTGTAGGAAAGATGTTCTACCTAGCTTTCCCACCCAACATTCAGTGAGCATGAGCAGGAGTGGGGAACATCAATGTTGGACTAGATGGGCCCAAGAACTGGACCTATATCTAGAAGGATGAATCAAAGGGAATCACAAACTTTTATCAAAATTACATTTGGGTGCATCGATTTACTTTTGGTTGAATCCCTGAGTTTCTGAGCAATTCCCTCAGTACAGATGCACTTGACTCTAGTCAGGTTGCACCAAAGCCAAGAATTTGCACGTACTGCATGGAATACTCACGGGATCACAATATTAACATAACAGCCATGATCTATAGAAACAAGTGGTGCCACTCAAACCCAGCTAGCTCAACAGTGCATTGTGATTCTCCTGAACACTCATAACTGCTTTACAACTGGTTTACAGCAAGAAAAAAATATTGTCTTATTCATAAGAAGAAGCCCAGAGACACAAATTAGACTGTGTAAAACCAGTATGTAACAGGATAATAAACGATGCTGACAGTGTGCAAACTTTGAAAATAATCAATAATCTTTTCTAACAATTTTGTAACTGAGAAATATACGAGGAATAATATCACAACCGCCTCAACTGCTGAACAAACACAACTGCAGCTAAAATTGGAACTAAGGAAACTGTTCTCCTATAAGTAGAAGGAGGAAAGCTAATGTCAGTGTTTCTAGAGCAGTGCTATGCAATAGAACTCTCCATGGTGACAGATATGTTCTCTGCTCTGTCCAGTATAGAAGCCAAACGTGCTCACTGGCCACTTGAAATGTGCAACTGAAGGACTTAATTTTTAATTTTATGTAATTTTAATTAATTTAACTTAGAATAACCACACGGAAGAAGTGGCCATCATACTGGTCAGCACAGATGCAGGGCATGCTCTGACCTTTGCACCATTAGCTGCACATTCCTGCCCTCACACCCTGAAAAGGACACGTTCTCTTCCGCAAGTATGTAAATCAATGGATGTTATCCTAATAAGCCATTTGTTCAAATTAAAACTACAACAAAATTAAGTTGGCAAAAAGTAAAGCAATAAATGACCTTCCCACCACCAATACCTCAAATAGCTTCCCGCAAAAAAAGCAAAAAGGAAAACACTCTGTAAGAAACCTGACCTACGTTCTGCTCCTCTGAAATGGTTTTTGTGACAGGAGGCACAGCTCAGCACCCTGGGACATGTCTCTGCTCCACGTGCCCAGGACAAACACTTACACTTTATTGGTTTTCCAATGAATCATGAGTTCTAAAATGTCTCCGGTCTTCACAGTTTATCAAGTAATTCAAAGGAAAGCATTAAGGGAATAGATGTGTGAAGTGTTTGTTTTCAAAGTTATTGATTAGGAGAGATGGAGGAGAATTAAGTTATCTCCCTGGTGGCAGGGGCTGTGCTGGGCACTGAGACGTGAGATGAAGAGAATGCAGGCTGGAGGCATAACCGTGGATAACACAAGGGAAAGTTCCAAAGTAAGAGCATGAACGCAGTGTTTGAGAGCACAGGAGAAAAAGTCTTGAATCCTAGGGGATTGGGGGGGGGATCAAGGCTTCACAAAGGAGGTGCCATTTGAGCCCCCTGGAACTTGAGTGGGACTGCCCTGGAGAGCCAGAGAGGGGAGGAGCTTCCTCTTGTCAAAGGGCTTCCTTGGAACTTTTGCAGGGAGACACAACTTGTCATCAGGAGTTACCTGGAGGGAGCCAGATCGTCCTTGCAATGGGAGGTGATAAATCCAGATTCCCACATCCCATCCAGATCCTGGGAATTCAAGTCTTTGGAGAGTGAAGCCAGGAACCCACATGGCATCTGAGCACACCCAGAGAATTCTGATGCACCCTAAAGTATGAAGCACCCCCTCCAAGTTATCGACAGGGCTGGGGAGAGGGTGGGCAGCTTCTCAGAGGGAGGCAAACGCAGGAGACACAGCAGCCCACCTGCTGATGCAGGTCAGCGGGCAGGAGAGGGAGGGTCCATGACGATGTCACCAAGTTTGTAATGTGTGGGGAGCCAGGGGACACCGAGCAGGTGGCTCAGGCTTCCAGAAGTTTGCCTGCAGAAGGAAGAGGCAATGGGGCCAGAGGCCTGGACCAGGGCCCTTCATCCTGGGGGAGAGAGTCTGCAAGGAAGTTATTCTCCAGATCAGCTCTGCTTAGTGATTCCAGAACCACCCAGGTTTGTCCCCAAAAGGACCTGCAAACTTGCAGGAAGTGGAGTTTTCTTTTAAATCATACATTTTTCTATCTCATCACTATTTGACATTTAAGCCAGATAATTCTTTGTTGTCGGGAGTGGTTCTGTGCATTGTGGGATGTTTCCCAGCACCCCTGGCCTCTATCCTTAAGTGACAGTAGCACCACTCCCCTAGTTGTGACAATAAAATATATCTCCAGACAGTTCCAACCTCTCACCTGGTTGAGAAGCTCTGACCTGGTGAGACGGCCTGTCAGATCTGTGTGCATGCATGAGTGTGCATTTGTGCAATTCAATCATTGCAGGGTTATGCTCATGGTTATTTGGAAATTCATAAGCCACAGAAAACAACCACTAGAATCATGAACATCTACTACCTTGAACTGACAAGGATCTAGCAGAGACCAAACATGTCAAGTAAAAATTCATTATTTCAGGAAGAAATTTTCCAACCTAAGTGCCAAGGGCAATGTACAAAGATTTCTTAATTTTATAAGAAGGAAAAAAAAAAAAAACACTCACCCTTTCTCTTGTGAGGAATTCCTCAGCAAAGGAGTGTTTTCTGTAAAGCAGGGGTCTTTAGACCTGGAGCTGAAGAACTGGGGGAAAGGAGAGTGAGACCTGAAAGACACAGTAAGGAAAAGAGATCACCAACACAAAAATGAGGAATGCCTGCACCAGTAATTGGGGCTAGATTCAAGAATGTGCACAAGCTTCGGTGATAAATTTTACATGAGAATTTGACTAAAGTTATATATGAATTATAAAAAGCTGGAGTTTTAGGAGAGACAATTAGAAACCACTCTCCTCCCCAGCATAAACCAGACTGTAAATGCAAAGCAGAAACTCACATAGGAGACCAGATCCTGTGGCATCCATCCTTTTAGGCTCACTTTAGCATTAACAGTAGATTCCAGCCAACTTTGCCATTCTAGGCAGAACTCTTCATCAAGAAAACCATTTGGAGTCTGATGGGCCCTTTTATACTCAGAAAATTCTATTTCCTAAGATGACAATATTTAAATATTACACATCTAAAATATCCTAATGGCTTCCCTTGGGAGCCCAAGGAGCAGAAGTCAGGGCCAACGGAGTCATAATGAAATGATAACCAGATTGGCAGGGAGGGGGCTCTCAGGGGGACAGAAGCCACAGCTGAAGCAAAGCAAAGGTTCACACTGCATGGGACGCCCCTCCACTGTGCTGGCCTGTCCACTGGAGAAAGGGTCACCACAAACTTCTTATCCAGGTCAGGCACTATTCCAGAGGGAAATAATTGCACAGGCAAAACAGAGCCCACCAGCATATATGGTCACCAAAGGACACATGATGTTTCAAAGCAGCTAGTTTTTCATGAAAAGTTGCAGAAATCATTTTAATTCCTAATTATCAGAAATATGTCATTTTATATAGTGGTACATTGCCTTTCCTAAAGGAGCCCAGGCCACGCAGAGCTGCTGTGGACGCCGTGAAACACTCACCTGGGGAAATAACAGTAATTCAGATCATAAATGCAAAGCAAAAAGAGAATTTTAAGAAAATATTTCCACCCACTTTCTCTTTCCCATTCAAGCTTGCACCTGTGACATAGACAATAAGACTCTGGTCTCGTGAATGAATGAAACTAGGGTCCCTGAGCTGTGTCTAACAACACCCACCACATCACCATCAGAAAAGGAGTCTGTCTCAGGCCAGCAAGTGTCCTCTGGGCACCACCTCCAGGTAGCCCTGGGCACTTCCTGTGGGGAACACAGGTAACTGAGGACTCTGTCCTCAGGGGTTTTAACAGCCGGTGGAGGGCAGCATGGCAGCAAAGAAAGGGTACAGTAGATTCCCTAACTAGGACAGATGAGAGCGGAGAGGTGGAAGATGAATTCTGCCTGAGGGATTTAATAATTAGTGTACTTTTAGCTGTTGAAATTGGCTTCAACAATTAGTTGGGCTTTTAAAATTTTCATCTCTCATAACTGTAAATCCAGAAAGACCTCAGGTACATGTAGATAAATGTCTCGATGAGTCAACTAACATCCAGGTATTTTCTGTCGCTCCCTGGGGTGGTTTGTTACAGAGCATTACTGGAAGAGCTGTTACGGTAAACTTACTCACATTATTTAACAACCCTGAGCTTCCATTTTCTTAGCTGTAAAATGTCGATTAAAAGAAAAAAATAAAAGCTCAGTTTTGCTGCATTAAATAAGGAGATGTAAATGGAAAGTGTAAAGAAAGAGTTTGGCTATCAATTCAATTTTTTCCATTAGACTATGAGCTCCTCCTGGATGGCTGCCACGTTATTTCCATCTTGTTTTGTCTTGTACCTTACGTGGTACCCAGTTCAATGTAGGGTCTTAAAAAATACTTCATAATGAATGAGTTAAACCCCAGTGATCATAGCTTGTTTGCGTGAGATTGGTTTTTTGACTTAAAACGGTTTTCTAAACCATTAAATCGATAACGTGCTTAAAATCACCATTGACCCTCTAAAGAGTGGAGAATGACCACGAGAGCAGAGGTGCTGTTGCCCCTTAGAGAGCACAACCCACAGGCTCTCAAAAGGGCTCACAGTGACACCACATTGCACAACGCAGAGAATTCACCTTGTTGCCAGGAAGAAGGAAAATTAGAAATGGAGGAAAGTCAAAAGTGCAATTTTATTTTCTCTGAGGTGGCCATATCCAGCTGATCTCATGATTTAACATTTCTGTTGCATTTTATGTACACAAAGTATTTTAAAATTGTAGTCAAGTGTACAAAGAGTGGTCTCTAAGCTTTTATATCTAGTTATGTTTCTAAAGAGCCAAAAATAAAATGAGTTTCACTAGGAAATTTCCCGAAGAGACTTTGGGCCATTCCAAATTTAAACTTAATTTGACACTGTCCAGATATTATTTTCCATTGTTCCAAGTCTATGCCTCTGTGTGAAGAGGGGAAGCACAGAGAGGCCTTCAGGCACCGTTACTTGACAGGATCCCTGGCCTGCCATCCTGGAGGATAGAGAACTCAGAAACTACACATAGAGAAGATTCAGGATTGCCTGAGAAACACATATTCCAGAGTCTGGAAATAAAAATGGCAGTCCACAGAACTGAAAGGCCAGTGTTTCTCTTACTGTTTTAATTAAGATAGAAAATATTGATGAGATCTACACTATTCCTGACCTTTACTTCTTATGAAAAAAAGAAATCACATTAACATTTCTCGGACCTCACATCTAAGCCTTGGTGCTTTCAAAATTCACAAATTTCAACAGTATCTACTTTCCCCCGTGCCTCAAAAACTCTATGTATACATTTGCAAAATTCATATGCGCCTGTAAATTTATAAGTGGGCAATACTTATTTTGAATAACTTGGAAACTAAAGAAGAGGATAACAAATAAAACAATTGTATATAATTCTATAATTCAGAGATACCAGCTTTTAATATTTAAAAACTTCCTTTCAGTCTTTTTTTTCTATATATAAATGAATATTTTTAAAGTCAAGTTCAAATATATGTGTGTATAGACATACATTCACATACATAAATTGCTTTGTCCTCTGTTCAACTTAGTCATGTCATTAGCATTTCCTGTGTTATTAAATATTCTCCTACAATATGATTTTAATGTTGGAATCATATTCCATTACATAGATCAGCACATTAAGGTTGACCATCCATTTATTGTTGGAAATTTAGGGAATTTCTAGTTTTTCAGTAAGATAGGTAACAAATGTTATGAGAGTCCTGGTAGATAAGTCTTTGTGTGTGCCTCTGATAGTTCCTTAGGACAGATTCCTACAAGTGGAGTCACTGGGTCTAGAAGTGTCTTGGTGTCAATGATCCATAGAGAGCCTGCCTCTATTACTGTGCATTTCAGTTATGTGAGGTGTTGAAATTAATAAAACAAAAACCTCAAATAAATTGGAGTCAGGAAGACCTGTAGGGGAAGCTCTCACACCCTATCACACATTGTCAATTACACCAAACAGGAAGAGACCTACACTTGCATCTTTGACAGGAAGTAAAACTACTCTACTACTGAAGAAGATTTCTCTCCCCAACCAGCAGCAGCCCAGCCAATGAGAAACACCACAGCTCAGCCAATTAGAAGCCGCTGCTGCCCTGAACTGTTACTTTTCCACAATGGACTTTCTTTAGAACAGCCCCTCCCTACTCCTCCTTTTTCTCTATAAAAGCAAACTCCCCTCCTTTGTTGTCTGGATTTGCCTATGGTTCACCATAGCATGCACATCCCAAATTGCAATTCTTTTGGCTATTCCCAAATAAACTCATTTTGAGGATAAAATAACAGGCAAATTTGCCATTTAAGTTGACACACATAGTGTCAGAAAAGTGGGATCCAAAGGAGGCAACCTCAGAGAGAAGGCGACCACCAGAATCAAGTGAGGTACCCACACTGAGCCCCTTGTGCTCATCGCGTCTGTGAGTTGCTCCGTGCTTTCAGTTTGGTGAGTCTCCTCTTAGATTTCGAGCTCTGCTCCCTTTGAGCTCTGAGCTCTCAGACTTTATTTGGGATCTGGAGAGGCTTTATCCTCTTAAGGGAGGGACTGTGTCCTCCGGTTTAAGGCTCTGTCCTTGGGTTCAAGGCATCATCCTTGGTGAGTACTCAGCTATTTTCTGAAGGTAGCACAGTTCCTTTCAGGGCTCAGGCTTGCTGAAAATCCAGGAGCTTTTCTTTGGTTTTCTGATTCTTTTTGGAGTCAGGGCTGGGAATCCAGCAACTTTCTTTTGGTTTTAGATTCCTTTGGAGATCAGGGCTAGGACTCTAGCAACTTTCTTGGGTTTTCTGAGGAAATTTCAGAAATGGAATCCCAGTCACCTAAAAGTTCTGAAGGAAATCTTCCGTCACGGGTGCCAGCTGGGTTTATGTTTAAGAACTATGGGCCCCCTACATGTACGTTTTTAACTAAAAGGGCCAAACTGACCCAAAGCAGTCTGGAATTGCAATGGCCCTTATGGGAAACTTTCAATCTCCCCAAACTAGCTTTTCTTAAAACCAAATTGGCAGACCGTGGCTCTAAAATTAAGGGAAAAAATGGTATGTCTATTTTCACTGGTACTTGAAGGCTTATGGATATGCACAAAGCTCTAAAATTGCATCATTATGAGATACATTGTCTAAATTAGCCAAAACACTGAGGGAGAACAAAATGGCTTCTGAAGGCTCATGTTCCCCTTCCTCTTCTTTGTCTCAGGCGCCATCTTGTTTGTCTTCCCAGACTCCTTTGTCTCAGACTCTGCCCAAGCAGCCATCTTGTGCTCAAGCTCCGCCATCGGCACCATCCTCCTCTCTTCCCCTCTGTGAAAACCTGCCCCTTTAAAATCAGACCCTCTGAGGATTCAAACGCAGGGCCCATAATTACTATTTCTAGGTTAACTGGAGCAAACAAATAACCAGAAGGAAAATTTTAAATAGCAATTACCCTAGACTTTTGATAATAGACAAAATGACTCCAAAAATAGCCCTAAAGGGATCCTTACAACATGTAGGTAAAATTCATTAGTAAAAGACTTTGGCCATCTGAAGAAGTAACTGATGGTGCTCAGGGCAAGCTGCCCCAGGAAGCACCACTCTGGTATGCGGATTATTTCGAGCTGAAGACAATAAGGATATTTGACCT